CAGGAATGGGATGTGAGTGGCTCAGATGTGAATACTTGCTTCAGCCTTGCCCTCCCAGCTGTACTGCAAAGGAGACCATTGGTATTTGCAATGCTTCTTGCAGGAGCTACCTGAACTTTGAAAGAAGAGTTGTTAGGGTCCTCCTACAGACAGCAATAGCATGAGTGACTCGCTCTGGGTGGGCTCAGAGTATGTGAATTGTCTCTGGATCAGTGGTTTAATTATTAAAGAAGTGATAGACTTCTCTGGCATCGCAGAAGACCTGCCCTACTGAGCTTCTCTGCTGTCCTGGAGAGTTCAGGCCCCTTGAGCAAGATCCTTCTGAAATAAGCTGATGAAGCTAGAAGTTGAACACAGAGGTTAACATTCAGGCCGGTTTCAGGTTTCTGTAACGTTTTAGAATTGACTTCTTTATACGTTAGCATGCAGAACCATAGCTCCTTCTAGCAGAGAGACTGGCTAAGGGTGAATGTTCCTGGAGCTGAATGCTGGGTTCAAATGTTGGCCAGAGCTGAATGCTGGGTTCCCTCTAGTAATCACAGAGCCCAACTCAGTTGAGTTTGTGTTCTGAAATCCTGTTGTCTTAAGTGTAATTTGTGGATGATGGTCAGCTCGCTAGATCCTTACTGAGACTAGAGATCTAACAGTGAGCTGAAACTCTGTTTGTGCCTTGTCTGGGCTGTGTCCACCTCAGTTTCTGGACTGGGCCTCCTGTAAGTGCTTTGTTTTAGCCATTTGCATGTTCTGAAGTTACGCTGCACCTGGAAGTGATGTGAGGATACAGTAAGGGAATGAAGATACGATAAGGGAACAGTTGGCAGAGCAGTACTGGAAGTTGTCATCTGCCTGTGAGATGTAGCATTGCCACTCCTGGATGTCACACGGAGTTGTCTCTAGTGCCTTTCATGAGGGATGCTGTGGAGCTCTAGCTTGATGCTGTTTTCTTGCTGACATTTGTGGACAGAGATGCACGCTGTCTCTGGCTGAAGGGTTCCCTCTTTCATTCCTTGCCGTCTACCCTGGTATGAGAACTCTGTTCAATGCTAAACAAACCTGGGCAGGAAAAACTGGGCACCCTAGAAGCCGGTGTGCAAAAGACACTGCTTATCAAATCACATGAAAATTTTTCCTCCTTTGAAGGTATTTTACAGAGTAGCTGTAAAAGTCCAGCTCTATTGTTGAAAGCCTGATAGAGGCTTTCAACAACCTACTGATTTTTAGTGCCTCAGTAGTAGGCAGTACTGGGAAAATCTGGTCTGCTTGGCCAGCACCTTCACAAACGGTTTCTATCTTGGGCTCTGTATACACAAGGAGTTTACTGTAGATTGAAAAATAACTGATAAATTACATGCCAGTTCCACGTGACTGCAGCTGAACTGAAATTAAGGAGTCTTTAGAAGTGCTTTATAAAGTATAAGAATAGAAGAAAGCTGCTCTGCTATCAGGATGTCAAAATGTGTACTGCTCCGTAAAAGTGAAACTCGCAACAATCCAGAATGATTTCCAATTGTTTTTATACCATGGCATCTTAAAAGCTGACCTCACTATGATTAGATAAGCAAAGAATAAGTTCTTGTTAGTGAAGGTGAACTACTAAAAAGTGATGCTACAGTGCTCCCTGTTAGCCAAATGAGTGGATTTTCAGTGTATATCCAGAGTTTGAGACTTTAACTGCTTTGGCTCCATGAAATACTGATTAATCAAACTTATCAGCTTGCATGCTACATGGGGACCTTTCTTGTCATCGTTCAGCCCTTTGGAAACTCAGATTGCCTGGACTTCAGTCTGTTATTTGGTGGAGTAAAGGAGTGTGTGTTGACTACTTTATGGCACAAATGTCTAAGGGTTATACATTCTTTAGGGAGCTGTCTTAAGGAAACAGGCAAGTCTGTTGATAGTTAATTATTACAAATTTTCCCTCTTTCAGAAGTGAAGTGCTGTTCTGAATGCATCCCTTTACCCAGTGTTACTGTTCTTCAGAGCATCTGGGGTTTTTTACCTTTCCTGTGGGAATATGCTGCTGTTGTGTGAGGAGTTGGTCTACCACTTCAACCAAAGCGAACACTTCTGAGCTGCTCTGCAGAGTGCTATGAGAAGCTAATCGTGATACATGATAATGATGCTCTGTAGCTTGTCTCTTGTGTGTTCAGATCCTGAATATTTGGCTTGAGGATTGAGCCACAGCCCCAGGAGAGCTCTTGCCCTGGACTGAAAAGGGTGATGAAGCTTGAGTCCCGCTTTCTTACTAAGGGGTAGAACAGAAATAGGGGAGACAGTTTTCTAGATGCTTTGTATGCTCTGCAAAGGCTTCTAGAAAACAAGAGCCTGGCAAGATACGTGTTTAATTCATGCTTGGGCCTAGTAGTAACCCCTGCATGAATTGAATGGCTTCCAGGTACTACCATATTGGCAATATGTTTTTCCTTTTCTTTTGGCTTGAGAAAAATCTTCAGACTTCAGTGCTTTCTGAGGCAATCTCCTGTTTTATACGCAGTCAGGTTGTTGAGTACCTTTAAACTTCTCTGTTTGCCAGTACAGTTTGTGTACTTGGTATGACTGCTTGCTTTTTCTGGTGAAGGCGCTTACTCTGGATGGCTTGACCACGTAACTCAGGTTTTAAACGTGTTCTCCTCTGCAGGCTTTCCTGAAGGCAGTAGCTGTGTCTCACTCAGCTTGAGCAGGAATTGCACACAAGTCACTAATGTAAAACTGTGCAGAGGGTTCCTTTAAAAAGTTGTGTGACTACTGAGAAGAGACAGTTATGTTGTATTACAGTCCAAGTGAAAACATACCTTTAGTAGCACATTTGTCCTAATTTTGAGTTAAAATAGAGTAGCTTTTTCCTCATGAGCCAACTAGCTAAACTGTTTACAACTCACTACTCCTACCTGAATGCTTATTTTCCTCTGGGCTTGAAATTCAAGTCTTCACCTCTGCGATCTCTTGCTACATCATGAGGCCTGTGACCAAGAAGGTGGAGAAACAAGGCAAGTGTGGTAGGTGGCTTGCTGCCTTTCTAGTCAGCAGAGTACCGGCAAATTCAGTTTCTCAATATATTAACTTTTCTTAATAATGCAAAATGGCTGGTGATGTTATCTGTGGCCTGGTTTCTAATTTAAGCTCTAGTCTTCACTTCCATTGATTTCACATAGATCAGATGTTGCAGCTGAGAAATTAGCTAATTAATGACTTTGGAGGAGGTGAGTTGCTCAACTTTCCACTGTTCAAAACTGTTCTTATGGCAGCGGCTGCCTGCAGGGAAGAACTTCCTTAGTTTACAGGAGAAAAGCAGGAGTTCCTGACCTCCTTGAGCTTGCCAGTCTGCATTGCCATGACAGTGCTCACAGGGTGCCAGGAAAGCACCCTTATGCAGAAATGGTTGGAGGTAAAATCAGCAGCATTGGACTAGGGGAGACTGGGGACTAAGCAACAGCAAACCTAATTTTAACACTTAGGTAGCTCTCTATTTCAACGTGCGAAAGCCTGGATAGGAGCTGGGACCTGACCTGAGCTGATTTTTCTAGAGTTGCTGGGTTGAGGCTTTTAGACTTCTAACATCATTAAGATTTAATGTTTGCTTGAAAAGCTTGGCTTCACAAAATGCTTTGACATTCCAAACCCAGGTATCCTGGATCTTCTGGTAGGCTATTCAATAAGAAACTTCCTCTTGCAACCTTGCTCCATCCCCCCCCAGAGGGGTGTTCTGCTGTACTTACCAAAATCAGCGTTAAAGGTGACTTTGCCATTGGTGCATTTCAGGAAGAGTAATTAAATGTGTGCCCAGACAAAACTTAAAATAGTGTTTCAGTAAATTATTAATGATACAACCAGCTCGGTCCTGTCTAATGTGCTTGGCCTAACATTAGATCTGTAGATTAGGTAGTGTATGAGGGAGGACATTCCTAGGAAGTTCAGTTTTCAGTTAATAACAAGTAGCAGTGACAGAGAGTTCTGGCTGCATGTGAGAAATACTAAAACTTCTGTGTTCCTGCTCTGTTGATGTTACCACACTTGCTGCTGAAATCTGGGGGGGCTCAGGGATGATGATGTATGTGGCTGCTTCTCTGTGGCTTCAGTCTGAAACACTGACAAGGGAAACGTCATTCTGAAGTTAACCTCAAGTGACGTACAGAAACATCTATTGACGTCTTCAGCTTCAAAAAAACCTTGATTAGTTCTTGTTCCTAAAAACTATACCTGGAAACTTGTTTGCATCCTTCACCTTTGGATTGCATGTATCTCTTCCTTGATAGTTGTTAATAGCTATCAACTACTAAGCTCCTAGAAGCATCCACATTGATGCTATATCTTGGGACCCCAAAACAACACTGATACATATACAGTTTTGCACCAGAACTGTTTGACAGGGTCCCAGCAGACCATATAAATCATCTTGTTTGCCATTAACCTCTTCAACACAGCAGATCTCACACAGACTTGAATTACCAGTTCTCTCTGAGTTTGTGTCAGCAGCAGCCTTCCACCCACTCGTTCCTTCTGTTCTTGTACCACCAGCGCTGCACCTCCATCCCAGAAAAGATTCTCGTGACTGAACCAAACTTCATGAGGGGAAATAATGCTGGAAAGCTAACAGTGTGCATGCGGCTCCTGCGCCGAGCAGCTGAATTGGGAAGAGGATTTTTGGTGAACTCTGAAACTTGCATCTAGTCTATTGCGTGGACACCTCTGTGTCCTGAGGCAAGAAGTGCACCGGGGAGGCAGAGGACAGCCCTGTTCTTCTTGTTGGTGGAACAGCACCAACCTGTGACCTTTAAACAGAGATGCTGCCTCCTGTGCTAATTAAATGCCTTGCAGTGACAGCTGGACAGCAACAGTTGCCAGGCACGCTGGGCTTCTGCTGTCTGCCCTCCTGTCCTGACAGCAGCAAGCAAATTATTGCAGGAAGGGGGATGCTTCCTCCTCTGCTTTCATGAAAGCTGCCCTGTAAACCACCTGGAGCTAGTTCATAGGGAGGGGGGGAAATAGCTCTGAGCCTCTTCTGTTTTTAAATTTCTTTTCCCCTTTGTGCATGTTACTGTGAACAAATACTGAGATAAAACTGCATTCTTCTGCTTTACGGGAGCAGTCGGTGCTAGGAGCCTCCTGGGCTGTTGGAGTGCTCTGTAAAGCACTCATGGCAGAGGACTGGTTCAGGGCATGTTGATGGTAACTGAGCCGATTGCTAAAGAATCTCGCCTCTCTTCAGGATGTGAGTTTGTGCCAGGAAGCTTTTACAAAGTGAGCAGTTAAAATTATTGATTGAACTCAATGTTCAGTCTTCTGCACCCAGTCAATTTGAAGGCTTCTGTTTGTTTTGGCTAGGACTGATTTGATAAAGGTATTATCTTGCAGCTTCTGAACGAAGAAACCCTTGGAATTCTGGTACTTTGTGAAAGTGTTAGGTAAATACAAAGCATATGCAAATACCCTGTTGGTGTGTCATCCAGAGTCAGTAGCCACATCACTGTCCCAAAACCGTTTCATGTTGTCTCTAAATAGCATGATCGTGCTTACTTGGCTTGTTTTGATAACATCTGGATTATAAAACTGGTGCCTGCTTGCAATAAGCACCTTGGTAAGCATTAGTAACCCCCACTTGAGAGAGAAATTACTGCCTTTAACCAGGACTGCCTTCTGTTACAGCGACAACTAAAGGCCAGGGCTAAGAAGGCCATTGAACAGCTACAGCTTCGCACTCTGAAGCAAGGGGACAAGGTAAGGCTGATCCTGTAATCCCAAGTGTTGTGGCAAATCCTTTGCACAGAACCCAGAGAGTGGTCCGTAGTCCTGGAGCACGATGCAGAAGTCTCTGAGGCCATAACTGTGTCTTGCAGAGATGGTTCCTCTTTCAGAACAGGCCCTCTTACAGGGTGCAAGATTTTCCAATCTGCATATTCTTATAAATCAGATTATTATTTTTTTTTAGCTGCTTGCTTGTAGTCTTGTTGAGGTGAAAGGTCCTCATTTGCTGGCATGGATGCTTAAAGGTAACCTAGTATATCTAATCAGCATCCCTGGTTATTCTCTTTGTAACTAAAACTGGAGGTAGCACTTCTTAAACCTCTGTTGTAGTGCCTCATATAATCTAATGATGGTTTTCAGCTGGACTTTCTAAACTATGGGATTAAACTTTCAATGCTTCTGTTAAAGTGTCAGCTCGACTATGAGTAGTCCACACAATGTGTTCATGTAAGATTATATACGGGAGCTATCGTAGATGACTTCAGCAAGAACCCTTTGCAGTAAATCTGACTGTAGTTCAAATCAAGCTTTCAAAGTCTGTCAATGCTGTAAATGAATTTCTCTGCTTTAGGAGACTGGTCCTGACGGAGATACCTGCGTTGTGTGCATCGAGGCGTACAAGCCGAATGAAGTAGTGCGCATTCTGACTTGCAAGTAAGTTGCCTTCCAAACTGCCCCTTAATCCCAAATCTGGAAGCATGCCTCTTGCTGGTTGTTCCTTCTGCTACGTTAACAAAGCTGATCAAACATTAATCAAGCTGTTACACAGCGAGAATTCTCGAATCTCTGTCAAACAGTGTTCTGAACAACAGGAACGGTATGAGTGCACACTCGTAATGTGCCCTGATGGCCTGTGTTCATAACTTTCCCTGTGAGTGGATTGACAAGTACAACTTGGCAAACCACAGTGCCTTGCCAGGGGATGCCAGGGCTTCTTAAAAATTCCTTCCTGTGCTGGTATATAAGAGTGTTACCTCCAAACTGCAGAAAACGGGCAAAACCATCTGTTTCTTGTCACTTAATTTACTGGTTACTGAGAGGATCATGCTTTTGCTGAACTTGTTAAACCACGCTAACTTTGCTAGTTTAGAAGAAAGCATTTTTATTCTCGTATGCATCTTCTGAAATAGAGACCACAATAGAGCTATAGTGGTTTACTTCTCTGCAACTCTCTGCTGTTGTATCTCATTGCCCTGCTTCTGTGGAAGCCCAGTATTGCAGCACTAAGGCTTTAAACTGATTGCTCTTAAAATGAGCAATGAAGCCTTTTCAGGGCTTAAGAAAATATGCTCTGTGG